TGAGTTTAATTAAAATGTCTTCATCCCACATTGATCGTGAGAGTAAACAAGAGAATGTATTCTCCTCTATAAATAGGAAAGGTTGTGAAATATTTCAAAGGGACTAAGCCATGAGATCTTCCTTGCATCTAACTTTGTAGGACGTTGAGTGTATTCTTTGGTGAGATTGTCTTTGTCGCCAAGTGACCAATTAAATTTCAGAATTTCGAAAATGATTTTGGACCGTATTTTTTAGATTTGGATCGAGTTTAATAAGGATCCGAGTGTCTTCTGGCTGAGTTAGGCAAACTCGCTTCCATTGGAGGTCGATTTTAAGTAACATGCTGAGTATTCGGTTGTGTTAGCCAAGTTTTACAACCCTGTATGTAATACAATTTAAAGTTTTAACCTTATAAAAGACGTCACTATTATTATATGTTCTACATAATTATGGTAATATTTATGATACAAAACATTTTTTTACTATTTAAGATAAAAAGTTGTCTCTATTATCATATGTTGTACAAAATGATAAAATTTAAGATAGATAAAAAGATGTCTATTTTATCGTATTCTCTACATAATGATAATATTTAGTATAAATGTTTTAATTTAATATGAAATTATTATTTAATAGATAACAATAACAATTTATTTATTTTTAAAAATTAATTTTTTTTCTATTTTAATCATATAACTTTGTATATGCAAAACAACTTCAAGTTCCAACCTTATCTCTTATAATATAGTTCAACATAATAACAATACTAAAAATCATTTTTTATATTTTTTATGAAATTATTATTTAATTGTTAATAACAATGATTTAGTTATTTTTAATATAAAATATTTTTTTATATCACACGCAACGCGCGGGCATTCGCTTAGTACTATATTATAAAAGAAGCATTTTTTCTTACCCACATTCATTTGAAACTCCCAACTCTTTATATTTCCATATAGTATACTTAATTTATTAACTTAAATATGTTTTTAGTTGTAAACATTATCATAAATGGAAGACTTTATGGCTTATCAATATGATATACTTAATTTGTTAACTTCAATATATTGTTAAATAATAACCTACATTAATATATCAAATAAGCTTAAAATTTTAGTGTAAAATTTAAAACCTAAAGTAAATTATCAAATAATGATTAAAAAAATCAATATATATATATACTTTTAACATAGTTAAAATGAAAACATTAAATATTAAAAATATAAAAGAACTTAAATTGATGAATCGTATTAACTAAAATGTGTCTAAAAACTATATTTTATAGTAACTAAAATTCAATTCAGTTGCTTTTAAATTAATTTATAATAATAGTAGTTAAAACAATAGAAACTTAGAAATTAAATTATGGTAGATTACAAACAGTTGTTGATAACTTAAATAACCATCATGATGAAATTAAAACACCGTTAATTTTTTTTTTAAATAATAATAAATCATAACAATAGTAAATTAAAATAGTTGACAAATATAACTATTGTTATACATACATAAAACATGAGTAGAGACCATTAAATGATTTGGTTTTAATAAGCGCTATTTTATATATTGTTCAAATTAATTATAATTTTATATAAACTAAATGTAATAATTATTATTTATAGTTAATATAAATAATATAAATATTTTCAATAACATAATATTATCAAAAGTTTTCATTTTATTCTGCGCAACGCGCGGAATTCGCGCGGATATTCGTCTAGTTTAACATGTAATTGAGGAAAACTAAGCATTCAAACTGGTGTATCGGGGGAGCCAAACATTTACCTTATTAAAGTAAACCCGTCATTTTTTTGACAATTTTTTTTTAAATAAAATCCAGTGGTTTTTTTTCTTTTGTTTATTTGTTTTTTTAGAACCATAATTAGTCGACAATTTCTGAGTATTTACCTGACAAATAATTACAAAATCTAGGACGCGCAATGGTGGCAAGACACGCTTTTTATTAATTTAATCACACCCCTCAACTTATACAACTTATTCACTCAACCTCCCTATAAATAATTCCCCAAAACACACAATTTTCAACACAAAAATTTCATTACAACTTTATCAATACATCAATGGCATCATCAATTCTCCTTCATTCCCCATTCCTTCCATCTCAACCACACCTCTCCAATGGAAAAACCCAACATCCTAAATCTCATACAAAATTCACAGTTCTTGCAACAAAAAATGACGCCAGTAGTCATTTGGTGGATCAAAACATGATCATTCTGAGAAAGAGAATTCACGAGACAAAGATGGTGGAGAACAACAATGAGCTACCTTCTGACTGGATGGAGTGGGAGAAAAGGTATTACAAAAACTATGATGCGTATGTTTGTGAAGTGGTGGGAATAATACAATCGGGATTAATGAATACTAGACCTAGTTTGGCTATTGGCTTGATGGCTCTAATCACATTAAGTTTTCCGGTGTCAACTTTTGTGCTTGTTTCTAATGCTATGGAGATTACTAAGGAGCTCTTGAGTGGAATATTGCATTAAACAAATTTTAAGGAGTGATGCATGAAATGTTCTAGATCAGTGTGTGAGGAATAGGTTTTTATTTGTTATAAAAACAAAATTATTGATATCAACATAGCGTTTATTTTTATCATAATTTTTCAGTTATGATTGAAGCTTAATTTAGTTTTAGGGTAACTTTATATGAACTTTAAATATTAGTAGTAAAACATGTTCATGTATAAATTGTGTAACTCGTACTAATCAAATGTGAAAAATGGAAATATTATTTTCTTTGGTTTACACGAGAAATTATGTATACATTTATACATACATATGTAGAGTTAGGTTCAAATGTTTTTACTATCTATTGTGTGCTTGTAGGATTGATTCTGAACCAATCATTTTAGTTATTTTAAGAAAGTAATTAATGCGTATTAAATGCTGAAAGTTTAATTAATGCGCATTATATCTTTAACATGTAATATGCATTAACTATTTTCTTAAAATAACTAAAATGATTGGTCCAGAATCAATTTTAAATGAACACAATAGATATTTAGAACAAAATAACATAACCCTACATATGTATATATGTATACATCTATATATGTACACTTTGAAAGTTACAATAAAGTTTTGGATTCATGGCTTAAAGACGTTATTAGTATTATTTTCTTTTGAATATTAGTAATGATATAACATTAATTATAAGTGAAATAAAAAAGTCAACAAAATATTGATTTTGACATCAAACCTAGTTCGAAAATATAAAATAACATATAAAAAATGGTTCAGACAATATACCGTACGTTTTATTAAATTAAAATAAGTAATAAATAACACTCGATTATTTATGTCTAAGTGATATTGTTTCCATTACATATCATAATTCTCATGAATTTCTCAATTTTACGGCGTAACTTTAGAATATTATCATGACAATATCTAAGATAAAATATAGATATGTTATTTTCATACAAATGTCATAGCTATTACTTATATATATTTAACTTAATCGGCTAGCAACTTAAAGGAAACATTTTTCTTACAAGTTAATAATTTAAACATAGTATAAAAGTTTTAATAGCTTAAGTAGAATTAAAAAGAAAAATGTGTTATTTTTCTATACTCTTTACCGTTATTTCATTTCTACAAATGATATGATAACTAACTTGATTTAAATATGCTATAAAAACTTTCAATAGCTTACGTAGAATTAATAAAAAAAATATGTTATTCTTTCTATAGCCTTTAATGTTATTTCACTTCTACATATGATATGACAATTGAAAAACTTTTTATAGGAAAGTTTGATATATCAAAAGTTCATGAGCCGACATATTTAATCTGATTCTTATTTTGTAACTCAAATTCTTGCATAAAAATGATAATTTTTTTAGCATTAAATATAATTTAAACTCAATTACATACTAAAACATCAAATTAAAAAATATATATTTAGATTTTAATAATAAAAGTTATATATTTAATCTTAAATTTTCAGGGCCGGCCAATATATGTATCGCCCAAGGCACACAAAAGCAACAGACATAAAGTTGGGCTCATTTTCACTTATACTAATATCAATCATTCTAAAGCCCTAAAGTAAGTTTGTAAACTATGTTAGAATCTAACATTGATATTGCCTCACTACCCCTCAATCTCATCAGGTCATTTTACATCACGTTGATGATGGAAATCAAACGAAGTCTACTACGGAAGGAAAGTGTTACAAAACTTCGTTGAAGAATGAAGAACATTAGAAATTCTTTGGAAAGATGAAATCCATAATCTTCAATAATCAATATGCTATAGGAGCAAAATACGTAGATTACCATATATTACTATAAAAATATAACTTCAATTATCTTATATTGTTTTTTGTAATACTTGGATTACGAATTCATAATCATTTGCAGCCAAACGTAATGACGATTAACAAAGGATAAATATATAACCATACAATGAATATCTCATGTTTATAAATTTACGTAGCAAAACAAATGTCTTAGAAAGTTGTAAAGATATATTCCAACGATGAGTTTATATATTAAGAATATTGACAGATTATATGTACGATGATAACGAAGAATTGTGAATTTAGAGAAAAAATGTATTTTTTTTCGTTTTTTAATTTTTAAATGTCATGTTTAATTTAAAAGTTAGGATTTATTTAAATAACATCTTTTATTCATTTATATTTGTTATTATAAATATTAAAAAAAAATCCAAAAATAAATAAAAATAAAATGATGACATCAAGTGAACGGGTTGATCCGAGAGGTTCCCGAATCTTAAAATTCACCCAAATTCGAGTCTATCACATCATCCCGCTCCGAATCTGATCGCCATTTTCATATATACCACAAACTCTCAATTTAGCAGAGGTAACACAATCTGATTCTTCCTGATGTTAAGTGTGTATGCATCATTTGTTATTGATTTTTGATGCTCTATGTAATCATTTGTAAAACCTAGTTTCATCATCAATCCCACGGAAACGGCGATATCAGTTGTCAAACTGACAATTTGTTGTTCGGATAAAAATGCATCCGGTGTTTATTGGATCACATGGTAACATGAAGACGATGAAAGAAGATTTATTTAGCGCAGTGGTTCCACTGCTAAAGCTTCTATCAATAGCTGTTATGGGGTTAATACTTGCTCATCGCAAAACCCAAATCATCCCCAAAGCCACATTCAAGCTACTTAGCAAGCTGGTATTTGCTCTCTTTTTACCCTGCCTTATATTCATCGACTTAGGTCGATCCATTACCCTCCATAATCTTGTTCTTTGGTGGTTCATCCCTGTCAATGTGTTAATCAGCACGGTTTTAGGGTTTATGTTGGGCGTTATAGTTGTGTTACTGTGTAAGCCTCCTCCACAGTTTGTGAAATTCACCATTATCATGACTGCTTGTGGGAACACAGGTAATCTCCCCATTGCTATCTTGGGTTCCCTTTGTCATACTCGTGATAATCCTTTTGGACCAAATTGTCACCAGAAGGGTGTTGCGTATGTTTCTTTAGCTCAATGGGTATCTGTGCTTCTTGTCTACACGCTTGTTTATTACATGATGGAACCTCCCATGGAGTACTATGAGATCATTGAAGAAGACAACATTGAAAATGGCAATGGAGTTACCAGGCCTCTTGTTGTTGAAGCAGAATGGCCAGGCATTGATGAAACTGAAATTTCAAGAACCCCCTTTATAGACAAAACCTCTAAAACCTCACAATCCTCTGAGGAAACAAGTAGAGAAGCCATAGGGTGTTTTGCAGAGCCTAAAACAGTCAGAAAAATGATGGTTGTTGCAGAAAAGACTCCAATTCAGAACATTTTTCAGCCTCCAATACTAGCTTCTCTTCTAGCTATAATCATAGGGTCAATTCCTCAAGTCAAATCTTTTGTTTTTGGACATGATGCTCCCCTTGGGTTCATAACAGACAGCTTAGAGATATTAGGTGGTGCCATGGTGCCTTCTGTTATGCTTGTTTTGGGTGGTGTTCTTGCTGAAGGACCAAATGACTCCAAACTTGGACTCAAAACCACCATTGGTGTCACTGTTGCTAGATTATTAGTGCTTCCAGTTTTAGGAATTGGAGTTGTAGCTTTAGCTGATAAGATGCATCTTCTTGTAGCTGATGATTCTATGTACAGATATGTGCTTTTGTTGCAGTATGCAACCCCAAGTGCCATTCTTTTGGGAGCTGTTGCTAGAATGAGAGGCTATGCTGTTAGTGAGTCATCAACACTTCTGTTTTGGCAACATATATTTGCTCTCTTTTCGCTTTCTTTTTACATATTCATCTACTCTCAACTTGTGTCACTTGTTTGAAGCAAGTATTTGTACATATACATGTATACATACATATCGTATTGGATTTCCTTATGAGCTTGGAAACCCATAATGTTAATAGTGTTTTGGAGTTTTGTTGAATGAGATTAAGATTTGTAGGATTTTGTTTCTTGATTTGATACTATTATACAATTGTGATGAAATTACATCTTGAAAAGTGACACCCATGTGGTAAAACTTTAGTTAAGATGATTTAAGCTTTGCTTCATGATATGATGTGTTGGGATTTTTATGAAACACAAAATGTTTTAGGGTCCCGATACCCACGAACAATATTCCAAACAAATATTGTAAATAATCAACAATGTATATATACGAACAAATCGAAAAGAAAACATTTGTTTTAAACATGATTCCAAACGAGAACCAAAATTGAGCAATTACAAAACACGAAACCTAGTAGCAATATATTGCTATGGTGTAACTGTAACCCTCTAAGAACATCAACATAAACATATCCCATGATCCCATAGCAATAGGGTAAGTGGGAGGTAGATGTAAACAATTATATCTCCATGTGGCTGCTTTCACCAAAAAAGGCCTATGACATAAGAGAAACATGAACCTGCAATCGTACAATCATGTAGAGAGTAAGTCGATGCAAACACTATATAGAGGCATGAAAACTCAAGCATAGCTCAAAGCGGCTACAAGTAATAAAATGGGAAAAATGATAAAGATGAGAAAGTGGTAGCAAGTAACTATTAGATGAAAGTCGCAGTCTTATAAGAAAGAAAACAAAGAACTAATAATCTACTTTTTAAGCATATGTACCCTTCTATATGAGGTCATGTCTTCCGAGATGGCCAACTCCTTCGTCAGGCATATGGTATGCATCCACTTGAGTCACGTATTTCAAAAAAGGGGTAATATGGGAAATCAAGAAAAATAAAGAGCATCTTCTTAGTGGAGGGGCAATTTAGGAATTTTACTTGTTTTAGTTTGTTAAGCACACCATGACACCAATTATAGAAAACGAATGTGATGGAAATAATGTTTAACCAAGATATCAACAGAACAACATTGAAACGAATATTGTAAACAATCAACTGAATATAAATCCTAACCGATCGAAAAGGAATAAAAAAAAATAATAACATAAATTTAAAGTTGCAAGTAGACTATCATGTTAATGAAATGGAAATAAAGCACCATGTTTATTTAAGAAATGGGATTTTGGATCAAAGGATTTTGGTCTTATTTTGTTGAAAAGATATGCTCAAATTTGCAATATAGTTTGTTTTTTGCAGGAGAAAATGAAAATGATTGAATGCACCCAAACTGTATATGTCGATCTTTAAATGTGGATCACACTTTTCCAGAATTGCATGAAGATAGGGTAAGGTAGTTCTTGAGGATCTGTGTGAAGTCAAATCTCCTCATAAAGAGAAAGGCCTCTAAGGCTATGCAGTCATGCAGAGATGCATTTAATTATTTATTCTGAAAATGTGTGCTTGGATTTATGTTGAATTTGTTGGGACCATGAATTTGAATTAATTTCGTAATTAGTCAAATCGGACGTGTCAAAGATAATCTTGGCCTTGGGCATTTGGGTGTCTGAATCTTGCTAAAAGATGTTGATAATCTGGTCTGCTTGACTGATAGGTCTCTATTGGTTATTGGTCAAACTTTTGAAAATATGGAGAAAGTCAAACCATGTAAATTTTGGAGAAATTCAAGACAAGTTAGAATTTTATAATCTCGTCTTCCTTACTCATGAATACTAACTCATACATCAACTCCTGCGGCATCTACTCCCTTCTAACATAACTCATCATCTCCTCCATATTATTTAGCAATGGTAATTTATTATAATATTTCTCAATTTATCATTATTTCTAATTTGTGATTATGTTGCAATATTTTCTTATAGGCTTTTGTAATGGGAACTAGAGTCGGGCACATTATTTTGCGTTTTCGTAATTTATGATAGGTGTTAGAAGCAAAAAAAGATGATCATTTTCAAGAAGTATACTCTCATTTTTGTCAACTTTAGACTATTCATATTGGTAAAAAAATGAAAAAACATCATAAATGATCTCTGTGGTTTCCCCAGATCTGAAGTTTAGTCCCCGTGGTTTAAAAACATCATAGATGGTCCCTGTGTTTTCAAAACTTTTGATGATTGGTTCTTATTGCTAACTTCGTTAAGTTTTGTCCGTTAACTGAAGGGCGTTTTCATCATTTCACTACCACAGGGAGCATTTATGATGTTTTCACTTATTTTTTTTAAAATGAAATAATATTCAAAGGGGTCTCTCTCTCTCTCTCTCTCTCTCTCTCTCTCTCTCTCTCTCTCTCTCTCTCTCCAAACGCAACCTTGACCTACACATAAACACACATGGTAGATTGCAAAACAAATCTAGACTACATATCGTCATCGATTCACCCGATCACAAACCAAATCTCCAAATTAAAATACAAATTAAACTATTGGTTTATCAACCATGTTATCCTTCTTTATAATCTTCTCCAACTCCCGTGCATCAAATCGGATCCCAAATTGGTTGTCTCCTAATTTCATCTTGATCAATCAGTTGTGTTTAATCATCATCTCTTTACGTCTGCACCAGATAACTCAAAGGCTCAAGCTTAGATAACTCAAAGGCCCAAGATGATTGTCGACGTTTTCTGGTGTATTTGACCATGTAACACCAAACCCACATCACACAATTTTACAATTTCAACATCATTAATAAAATTGTGTATTTAAGAAACATACCTGATGAAGAAGATGAAGACAATGGCGACGAAATTGAAGAAGACCTTGTTGGTTTATTAGGTTTTAGGGTTCTCCAGATTTGGTATTCGATTCCAAATTTGGGTTAATGGGAAATCACTGATCAATAACCCACGTCCTCCATAATGAATCATTCCAAGATTCCAAATTTAGGTTTATGATGGAGTTCATTATAGCTACATCCAGTTTCACACACGATCAACACAAAATTTCAATCAATAGGTTACAAAACCAAACAATAGAAACCCATGTGATGTTTATCGATAGAGTTTTCCTGTCCCCACATCCATTTTTTTTTCACAATGATTAATTTACCTCTTGGCAACAAGATCTCGAATACACTGAGAACTCAAACTCCAAACCAAAGAATGAGTAAGATTATACTTCTTAACAACCATGGCTTTAAGATTTGAAACAGTCATCAAATTCAAAGAAACCAATCGGAAATCGTATCTCAAATCAGTCCCACTCATCATCTACAGACGCAACAAAGAAACCCTAATCCCAATTTGACATCTTATCCAAGTCTACAAGAAGCAGATGTTTCAGAAGGTTCATTGGAAATTGAATTAGTTTGAATCGGAGGCACATAAAGGCAAGGTCAATGCAAGAAGGAAGAGGTGAAGGTGTTGACAAAAGTTAATGTGTTATAGAACCAAATGGAGGCTTAAAGTAGCTGAAGGAAATTATGAGGATGAACATACACATATACACACGAGATCTGCATCTTCTCACATATATACACATGAGAGAGAGAGAGAGAGACCTTTTGTATATTATTTCATTTTTTTATTTTTAAAATAAGAGAAAACATCATAAATGGTCACTGTGGTAGTGAAATGACGAAAATGCCCTTCAGTTAAGGACAAAACTTAACAGAGTTAGCAATACGGACCAATCATCAAAAGTTTTAAAAGCATAGGGACCATCTATGATGTTTTAAAACCACATAGACTAAACTCCAGATCTGGAAAAACCACATCGACCATTTATGATGTTTTTTCTAAAAAAATCATTGTTCCGTTGATAGGTTAATAATAAAAAAAGTAAAAACAACCCAACCATACACCAAATATGTATTTGTATCAAACATCATTCGCTCTATTTTTTATTAATTGTTTTCCCCAATATTTAATAAATAAAGTAAATATATGATTTCTTTATAAAATTTAATTTTAAAAAATCAAGAAAACCATATACAATCAAATTAGATTTTTTTATCATACCTCTTCTAGGTACTATAAAAAAAATATAAAAATATTATCTAATTTCTTTTCTATAAATAAATTATAATATCGACTTATTTTCATATCTAATTCTGATTTTTTATTTCTAAAGTTGTAAACGACCCAAACATTCAACAAACCGTGTGTGAATTGTTCGACATAAAATTCGTTTATATTCATTTTATTAATAAATTAGATAAAAAAAGAAATAATTTTAATAATTTTTATTTGAATAAAAAGAACTACAAATTATATTTATTTAATAAAATAATGATTTTGGTTGGGTTGTTAATGAGAATGAAAGTTTGAATTTAATTGGGTTGTATAGATTTCAAAAAGAGAAATTAATTTTTAATGAATAGTTGGGTTGGTTTAACGTCCCAAAAATAATGACATAAAAGTTTTGATTATCAAATAAATATATCGTGAATACATATCATTTCCATAAAACCATGGTGATTAAGATTTAGCAAAATATCATCGAATCAGAGTAAATCACAGAATGCGGAAAACAAGTGGTGTGTGTCCTGTAATTATCCCAAGCTCTTCCATTTGAAAACCGAAGTACCTGAAACATAACTGAAAATCGTAAGCACAAAGCTTAGTGAGTTTCCCCAAGATACCACATACCATACATATCATATAACGGGCCCCACCCAAATGAGATACGAGCCCTGTCCACACTCGCATAACGGGCCCCGTCCAATGAGATACGGGCCCTGCTCACAATCGCATAACGGGCCCCGCCCAAATGAGATAAGGGCCCCGCCCACACTCGCATAACGGGCCCCACCCAATGAGATACGGGCCCCGCCTACAGTCGCATAACGGGCCCCGCCCAGTAAGCATATAACCATATAATCATATAACATTTAAACACATGCGAAAATCACAAAGATAGTAGCATACTGCACAATTATCGGGCCCCGCCCACATACACATCATATATGCATAACCCGATACTAGCATACGAAATAACCATCGGGCCCCGCCTAGTAAGCAAATAAACACAT